TATATATATACACACACATATATATATAAAATGTAAATAATTTATTCCCTTGAAGCACAGATAATTTTTTGGACTAACAAAATACATTATCTTGCTGCATGAATTTCTTAGCAAGTAGCATTCATTAATTAGTACTAGCTGAGAGAGGAGAACTGAATGGCAGGAGAACTGAGGATTTATGGCACAACTTGACTTGCATCCTGTGCAACGCTGTTATTTTGAGGACGTGAAAAGTGAATGAAAAGGCCTCTGTGATACTTAACTTTTTATAAATGCACAAAAATGACTGCTATAGACGCACAGAACTCCTATAAAATTATATTCAAAACTAGGCTGCCTTTTTTTTTTTTTTTTAAAAACTCCTCCAGAAAACCACTGGACAGAAACCAGTGCAACCAGTCCATCTTTCCATGGACTGCAAGAGACTAATGCCTTGATCCTGCTGTAGATGAAGCAAAGCACCACACACACACTACACTCCGGAAGTGAGAGGTCTCTGTCTACTTCTGAATTTTAGACACAAACTGATTAACATACCAATTTTCAATTTTGCTACTGATGGCACTAATTTTAGAAACAAAACTTTTTAAATCTGATACCTGTACTTGGGTAACTTTACATACCTGATGTTTTTCAGAGTTAAAAGCCATTTATGAAAAACAATGGCACATTTTGTATGCTCTAATACCCATTTGAAAGATTCATATTTAGAGAGGAAGGGAACAAAAAGTAAGAGTAGTCTGTTTTTTGCTTTGCTCCTACCCTATTTTCCAGAACACCAGTGGGGAAGGCACGAGTTCTTTTAGTCTCCATGCATTTACTGACATTAAAAAAAATTTTAAGAAAAGTAATAATAAAGGTAGCTTATAGAATCTTTTCCACTCTGCATTTTAGAGGAATGTTACATCTTTCACATTTATCAGAGTAATATATATGAATGTATATTTTAAAATCTTAGTCTTAGAGCTAACAAAGCTAGCTCAGGTACCAGAAAACATGTTCATAGCATCACCAAGCTCTCCGAAACAGCAAAGAAGTTGCCCACGTGAAGACTCGAAGCTGGAGGAGGAGAATGGCTCTCCTACCTGTGCCAGATTGCAGACAACAAATCAGGACTCTACGGTGCAATGTAGATGTTCCTTCAGCTGGAATGGGAATCATGTGGTTAGATCTTTTTATACAGCACTGGAAAACAAAAAAGTCACCCATGTAGCATCTTCCATTTCAAGTGGAAAAAAATTGGATAATGTTAAATATTAAAAACTCAAGGGTGGGAAAGAGAATTTGGGAACCTCTCTAGTTCACAATCAGGCTGAACTTCTGAAAAGTCATTTATGATCTAATAATAATACAGAACATTTTGCATTCAAAGTGTATCAAGTATCAGTTTAATAATCAAGTGATCAATAAATGGGACATGATGTAATTTCATTTTTCCAAGTTCTCATAAAATAAATGACTGTTGTAATAATGCTCCTTTATTGTGCTTATTCTTCCAATTGATAACGTCAGTTCTCAGAGAAAAGGACAAGAAGAGTCAGTTTTCTACAGACATTTTTATTGATGAACAGAACTATTTCTTCTTCTGGATGACAAACTTTTACACAGTAAAATAAGGAAATTTTACTCCATAAATAACAAAAATTAGCCCTTATATCTCAATTCCAGTCAAAATCTACGTAAAATAGTTTGTTCTATATTTACATTCCATATCAAAACAGGAAACATGTTCAAGGTCAGCCAGTTCTCTCAAAACTATTGTTCTTATCTCCAGGGTAAGCTTTATGCTTAAAAAGGCAATATTTGCACTTTGGAAGTCTGATACCGTAAGATCACATCATTTGATATACAATATAGACCCAAATCCTGAAGAGCGAAACACCCAAGCACTCACCCCTTTAACCAAGCAAAAGCTGGCTGTTGAACTCTGCAAGGGAAAGCCGCTCAGCTAAAAGTCATTAGTAGGAAGTATGAGAAAGAGAGGACGTACGCCTCTCTCTCTCCACTGAGATATATTCAGCCAGAGAAATTTGCAGGACAGGAAGATTTTAAAGCAACCGTCCCTTGTAAGTAAGGGATTGTTGCTATGTCTGCTTTTAAATTATATCAGTCTTCCCAGTTTACTAGTGCACAATGAAAAGAATGAGCTACATTGTACCTACAGTCAAATAACAGGGGTCAAAATTCTCTTTCGGTAAGCTAATCTATATCTAAGCTAGGATAGTCTCCCCAAACCTCAGCCCTTTCAAGAGGCATGAACCGCCTGCTTTCCTATGCAATTTTATTCACTGCATACAAACTAAACCAGCCAAAAGATATCCTTCTTCCTCTTAAATCTTTGAAACAGCACTAAAAAAAATGTGTTCCTAAAGTATGACTTGCCTCAGGTTCTAATTAAAGTGTTACAGATTTAAACAGCTGGGTTAAAAAGACACTGCAAGACTAATTTACTTCTATAACCAAACATGAAATGCTTTCACAAAACTTAAAACTGTGGCTATTATACACACAAAATATTTTGGCTAACGAGAAGCTAATTCATTTACCTTCAGGGCAGCAAAAACCCTGGAAATAATGCTATCTAGTCTAGTGAACACAGAGATTTATTTGAGCCACATTTGAAAGCCCCTACGTGTCAGAGATGCAGCATGATGGACTTGCCACAGTACGTTCACCAAACCTAAAGTAGCTGCCTGCAAACTTTGTATTTGTTTAAAACCAACACTGACTTTTGTTGGGGAAAACTCTACTTAAGGCTACATAAGTGATTGTTCTAAGCTACACTTTTTAGCTTTATGTTTTACACTCAGAAATGGCTTATGCTTCCTTCTGAATTGATTTTGCTCTTAAAAACCTGAGACATGTTTTTACTTAAGTCATCTTAAGACTTGGAAGTTAACAAGAGGCTAAAAGCTTAACTCAAAGACAAACAGAACTGAGGTAGTCAGTTTTACTTAAATATTCTTTCTGATAATTCATTCTCACTTTAAAGTGTGTCTGGCACACTTCTCCGCAGCTGCAAAGGCTGCAACTGCCAACTCTCCAGCAGAGTGCACCCTGTGTGATTCTGCCTGCTAAAGTACTTTCCCTCCCGACTCCCAAAAGACACTTCCAATTCTGCAATTTACAGCCAGTTTTTAAAGCTGCATTTCAGAGAAATTGCAACTGAAATCTCAGATTATTAAGGCAGTTACCGTTTTACTTTACTGGATTCACTAATGCAGCTACTCAGCAGGTACTGCTAAATCTGCCCAGAAAAGCTTTGACGAGCAGGCAGCTTTTCCTTATAGGTACAATGCACTGCAGCCTCTTTCCTTAATTATGGTATACAATTCAGAAGTAGGTAAGCATTGACTTTTTAAGCCATCTTTCAGGTTTCAGTTAATTCTCAGGAAGAGAGAAGAAAGCAAAGAGCCCTCAAGATAAACAACCGTGTAGAAGATAAAAACATTCACTTAAATACGACAAATCTCACACTTACACAGACAGGAGACTAGCACATCAAATACCAAGCACAATAAATAAACGCCAGTAAAAAAGTTTAACAGTTATAAAGTTAACCAGAAAGTTCAGACAGTGCAAATATTTCACAGTAAGAAAAAATAACCAATGATTTCTTTCAAGTATAAAAAGCATCATTTTTGAGTGATACCATTTAAATTGTATTATTGCACAACAAACAAAAAGATACAATACTCTGGGACCTACGATGTATTCTCAAACCTTTCTGAGTTTTCAAGGAATCACTTTATACCAACTGTTGATTGTGCATATATTAAAATAATCAGTGTTCGCTGATGAATCTGAGTGTTTCTTAATTCAAACTTATGCACGTTTAAAGCATTTGATCCCCAATTCATATTGCTTCTCAGAAACACCTACTTAAGGCTAACCTAGGCCTTGTATAACTCAAAGCAAAGTGTGCATAACCCGCAGTAAGAAGGGGACTAGCCCAGTGCAAGGTACTCTCGGTCGTGATGCTTCCAGGCAGTTATAGGTTGAAGTCTACTCACCTCAGTAGTGTCACAAGAGTTTCTCTACAAAAACAAACTAGCAGGCACAGAGATTTTCTTCACTGTCCTTATAACTACAATGAAAGTTCTATTATTTAACTGTATTTAACTTTAGTTGTTTAATTGCAGCCAAAGAAATTTTATTTCCTGCCCCTTCTGTCTACCTTTCATTTTAGAGAGGGATCGAGTCACCCACAATTCTAACATTGCAGCACGTTTACAGAGGAGAGAAACATCATCTTTATTCCCATCCCTGCGTTTTGTAGTGCACTGGGCACATCCGCTCTCTCAAGCTTAACACCTTCCCAAGAACAAAAACTATTCCAGTAGGACAATCGATTGCACCACTTAAGAGCCTATTTTATACTCTGAACAGAATTGTTTGTCATGCTTTACACAAGGTCAGAAACAAAGGAAATCACCCTTTTAATTGTCCTAAAGACTATCTGTCCTTAAGGAGGACAGATTTTCCTCATTTCTTTAATCTAGTAGATTTTGTCCATTAAACAATGAATGTTGTAGCAAGGTGTGCCTTGTTTAAAACATCTGATTATTCTCTAACATACTATAAGCCTCAGATAATCCCTATCATTCAGATTATCAACTGTATGTTCAAGAAAGGGAGGGAAAAAAAAGACAGATTACTGAGTTTTCTTTACACATTCAATCTACTTTTGACCTAAAGAAATCAATACAGGTACCTGTAAGATTATAGCAGCCATAACTACTGGTTTGCCC